TGTTTTGGTCTTTTCAGATTCACCCAAAGAAGGGGAAATTCCTGGCAGCTAAAGCCCAGGAGATGGGGCTGCCAGTGTGAGTAGGAGATCCCAGGCTGGGGCACGGGGCAACAGCAGACACTTGGGTGTTGTGCAGCTAAATCTTTGTATGGCCTTGTTTTCAGGGGAACTCCAGCCATCCTTCCCATATTTACAGCTCTCAGAAGCAGGTAGAGCTGCACTAGGGCAGGCACAGCACATACAGAGCTGGGCAGTCCCTCTCCTCTCCTTGGCTGCCAGGCCCAGGCTGGACACAGCCCTGAGGCTCCTGGTCTGACCTCCAGCAGCAGGCTGGACCTCTCAAGGCCCCTCTAAGCCCCAGTCCCTCTGTGATTCCTCAGGCCCCACCATTCCCTGCTGCTCCCCTCCCACAGGAGCCTGTTCAGGGCCTGTGTAGGAACACCAGGCTGCAGCTCTGTTTATTTTCCAGCTCTCCAAACCCGGTGTGAGCTCTCAGGGCTGTCTGTTTGCTTCAAAAAGCACCACTAAATGTTACTGTAACCAGAGTACCCCAACATAAACAACACTGACCATCAATATCCCTTGTCTTCCTGAGTTCCAAAGGCAAGCCTTATCTTTCCCAGTGCTTTGCTTTCCAAGCGCTGTCTCCCTTTATTCCTCGTGCCAATGTTCTTCCCTTTCTCTTCCAGTGATCCAAGCAGCCCTTTGAGTGGGGACCTCTCTAGACCTCCAGATCTTGCCATGGCTGTTTACAGCTGTTCTGTTAGACTTTCTTCAGACCTATAATACATCTAACATTTCTCATTCTGATTCCCATCTGTTCACACAACAGCTCAAGGTAGCCTGGTAGTTTTCCCTGGGTGTTCCCACTTGTGGGTTAAAGAAGAGGTTTGTTTGTTCCACTGAATGGCAAACTCTTTGTTCACACACTTTTCCCACATTACAGTGCTGCAGCCTTGGCTCTTGGCTCTGCTCCCTGGAGCCACATGAGAAAGGAAACATCAGTTTAGATCTTAAACTCCTGTTGGGGTGTCCTGTGCAGGGCCAGGAGCTGGACTCGATGATCCCTGTGGGTCCCTTCACTCTGTGATTTTGCGATCTTTAAATTGCTCCCCAATAAAAGCCAGAGTTTCCAAAGGCAAGTGTTCTGTCTGTGCATTCCTGCCCACCTTCTCTATCATTCCCTCCCCCTGGAAATGTTTTTCTGCTCAGGTGAATGAGGAGGTATGAAAATACCTTTTTTTGTGCTTAAAGCATTTTTTTCAAATACCTTTGGGAGCACAAGAGTTTTCTTAGGGCTCTGACCAGCTGGCATGGGGGCTCCAGCCAGTGTTTCTTTAGTGGGTGAAGTAACTAAGGCAGTGTGTGGTATTTTTCATCATACGAATCCTGGCAATTCTGTCCAACCTTGCTGGCTTGGCTTTGTGTGCACAGGAGAGTGTGGAGAGCTGTGACTGCATTTCTGCCATGTGACAGAACTGCCTGTAATATCTCATCAGTCTTATGGAAATTTCACTGGAGGTACAGAAAACTCTGAGCCTGGTGGGAGACTCATGCTTGATGTCAGCACGTAAGTGTCCAAGTTTCAGGATGCCCTAATTGCAGCCTTGCAGCACCTGAAGGGAGCAAAGGAAAGATGGAGAGGGACTATTTACAGGGGCATGGAGTGACAGGACAATGGGCAGTAGTTTGAAAATGAAACAGGGCAAGGTTAAATGGGATACTGAGGAAA